TACTACTACTACTACTACTACTACTACTACTACTACTACTACTACTGCTACCACTACTACTACTACTACAACAAGTACGACTTGTACGACTACTCCAAATATATAATATCAGTCTTATAGCCCCTTCTCCCACGGAACATAGCTTAAGGCATATACCTAAATCAAAGCACATAAAACATCCATTAATTGACAATATAAAGCAATGAGTGAAAAGTATTACTTCTTCATCCCATTTTATTGTTTAGCCTTTTCTGTCTTTGGGTGCTGCTTCTCGGAACTTTTTAATTACTTTTATTTTTATATAAGTTTTTTTACACCCCCATCGACAGGATTTAGAACATAGGAGGTGGACTTCAACCCTGCTTATCAAGGCCAATCGGTGCTGAGAGGGAATCAACACTCCAAGAGAAAGACCGAGATACTCGATTTTATAAATCTTGCCATTGGGGAATCAAACTCGGGTCTCTTGTGTGCTACAGCGGAGCTCTTCAGCGCTAAACCACAAATAGTAGTTGGACCTCTCCTCAATAAAACACGCAGGTGGTTGGCGGGTGCTCTGACGTAGTTTGCTTCTACTTTCCTATTGAAACATCTATAGTACTGATCTCTTCTCCTTCTTCTTTGTGTTTGTTGCTCCTTTGTAACACCTCTACTCTAATCTTCAGGCACTTGGTCTGCAAGCGCCGCAAAACTTTAAAAAAAACTAAAACTAAAACAATAACACACACATGCATGGAACAATAATTATTCTTTAACATACCCTTTACGTCTTGATCCACCGCCGACAACTGCTCTATTGTATTAGTACACAATTTTCGTCATTGGAAGTAGGCCTAGTGGACATCCGTCTTATATAATCTGCCTTCTCCATAACAACGGGTAAACAAACACAGCACAGCACATAAGCGTTTGACATTGCGACACCCTAGGAGAGCAAAAACCTCTGATTTGCGTGGTATCCTGGAATGCCCTTGAAACGCGATGAGAGCATGTTGACCCGCGTACTTGGAAGTCTTGATTTCTCAGAGAGTGGGGGTTTTTTCTTTTTTTTTCTGTGGCGCGCACACAATGGATTTTGTAGAAATTGGACGTCGAATTCAATCGAGACGTTTAATAGACATAGTGTTGCTTTTCACCAACTTTCCCAGGAAAAGTACAGCTCACCCTCTCCCCCCTCCCCC